CAAGGGTTACCGTCCTCCACCCTTTCCCCATGTAGCAATGACTATCGCCTTTCAATAAATTAGAAAATAAATGTTTAAAGGAGAATATCAAAGTGCTATCCTGCTAAAGGCGGCTGTATTGAATTGCCTCCCGTGTCTTTTCAGCCTGGAGGCCTTTTTGCTTCTGTAGTGGGTAGGGACAGCTTTCAGACAGCTCTGTTTTGACCTTCCCTATAACAACAGCCTCTGCAAAGTTATCATGGATTCAAAACTCCTCCTTACTTGGGATGCCTCCAGTTGCTAATATTTGTGGAGCTGCTCCCCATCATTTTCTCTGGGGTTTTCTCCTGTCTCTCAAGTGTCTCTCTGTTTAAAGGACCTAGAGATAGCAGACTTCAGGGAGGTTTCGGGTTCTCTTGAATTTAATAAAAATGGAGATAGCCACTTGCTAGCAGGGTGACCTTAAAGAAGGTACTGAACCTCCTGAGGCTCCATGTTCTCGTTAAGAAATGCATTATTATCCCAAGTTATCACATGTAAATTCTCTCAATTACCCATTTTTTCAGGATTGTCAAAGAATATTAGTAATGTCAAGTTATTAAACAGATGTTAGCTATTGAGAATACTACTGCTACTGCTAATGCTGATAATAATGAGAATAATAGTGGTGAATTTGCCAGCATTATGCAATGTATCGGAATTGCACAGGACAATGAGCAATAGTCTTAGGCAGGGGTCCCCAACCCCCAGACCACAGACTGGTAATGGTCTGTGGTGTGCTAGAAACTGGGCGCACAGCAGGATGTGAGCAGCAAACAAGCAAAGCTTCATCTGAATTTACAGCCACTCCCCATTACTTGCATTACTACCTGAGCTCTGGCTCATGTCAGATCAGTGATGGCATTAGATTCTCAAAGGAGCACAAACCCTATTGTGAACAGTGCATGTGAGGGATCCAGGTCACACACTTCTTATGAGTGTCTAATGCCTGATGATTTTTCATTGCCTCCCATCACCCCCAGATAAGACTATCTAGTTGCAGGAAAACAAGCTCAGGGCTCCTGCTGATTCTACATGATCATGAATTGCGCCACTATTTCATTATATATTACAATGTAATACCAGAAATAAAGAGCACAACAAATGCAACGTGCTTGAATCATTATGAAACCATCCCCCACCCCACTGTCTGTGGAAAAATTGTCTTCCATGAAACTAGTCCCTGATACCAAAAAGGTTGGGGACCACTGGTCTAAGGTGTATATTTCCATCAGAAAATGGTTTCAACCCATTCAGATTACTGTGTTTGGGGAAGAAAAAGATGAGAGAACTTGATGACATTGTAGAAGAGAAACTTTGTACAAGATGAATTTGCAGCTGAATAAAGTGTCTATCCCCTGCATAGCCCCAGTGCATGAATGGTTGCTATGGACTGAATGTTCGCATCCCTCTCCAAATTCATATGTTGAAACTCTAATCCCCAATGTGATGACAGTATTTGCAGATGGAACCTTTAAGTGGGAACTCAGTCTTGAAGATAGAGCCCTCATGATGGGATTCATGCCCTATTAAAAGAGACGTGAGAGACCTTGCTTCCTCCCTCTGTTCTCTGCCATGTGAAGATACAACAAGAAGACAGACATCTACAAAGCAGGAAGTGGGCCCTCAACAGACATTGGATTTACCAACACCTTGATCTTGGCCTTTTAGTCTCCAGAACTGTGAAATAAGCCTCCCAGTTTATGGTAATTTGTTATAGTCACCCAAACTGACTAAGACAATGATTATGTGCTATAAAATGCCATGTAGTAAAATATTTTGGCTGGTTGTAGGGCCTGCAGCCCAGTTACCATGGCAGAGTCCCTCTCCTCAACTCTTCTTTTCCCACCCTCTGTGATAGATGAGTTTTCTTCTGGGGTTCAAGTGCTCCTGGCAGGTAAACATGGGTGATCCGCCTTCCCTTTTTATCCATGCAGCCATAGGTACAGGAAGAGATGGGCAGTATGAGAATTGTGCAACCAGTGTCTAATAAACTAGGGTGTTTCCAATTAATGATAAGCCACAGGACAGCAGAGCAAGACTCCTGAGAAGGAATTCACTCCAAGGAAAGTGAAAGTCTGGATTTACAAACTAGACTGTACATCACCATGAGAAAGAAGTAGTGAAAACAGTGTGCTGCCTGAACTGAAACTTGCCTGGATCCAAATGGGCATGTGTGTCCTGTGAGCAAAGCGTTATCACTATTTCAATATAAATGCTGTGCCACTTCGACATTCAAGTGACACACAGAGGAGCTTCTCACTACACACAGGCCATGAGAGGGGCCTCTGGCTTTGCCGAATCAGGTTGATCGTCATTTGAAATAGCAGATCCATTAGGAAACCCTGGCAGATCACATGGTGACAACCAGAATTCTCTTTCAGGGTCTCATCTTGAGGGGAGCATCTGGGCTCCTTTCTTGCTTATAGAAGATTGACCAAGATTTATTCACAGCCACAGAGTATTCTCTGCAATAGCAGGTCAAAAGAACCATGGAGAGGGCCTGGAATTCCAACTATTAAAGGTGTGGTTTCAGAGCATTTTAGTTTGGGGCATAAATATATGTGCAATCTAAATAATAATTAATACTTGCCATTTGAAAAAGTCTGCAACACAGGGTGATCTAATGCCCCAGTCTTCTCAGGACTGAGGGTTTCCTGGAATGCAAAACTTTCCATCTTAAAAGTGAGAATAAAATATAACCGCAACATAACATATATATAATGTGTGTGTGTGTGTGTAGAACATAGGTAGAGATACGACGATAAAAGTACATAGGTGGAGATACATACATACATAGGTCGAGACAGGACAATAAAAGTAACCAGGTAACCAGACCGTAAGTAACCAGGTAACCAGACCATATATGAAACTGTACAATACTCATGCCAGTTTGGAAAGCTTCATCTCACTCTGTCACTTGTCATATGTTGGACCTTATATGTGTTGAGAAAGTACCCACCCATGTTCTCAGGTAGGTTAGTCCAGAGGGTCCAAGAAGATGTACTTCTTGTGAGCCAACTTTGAGAAAGATGGATTGCAAATAACAAAGAATAGCACCCATTGTGCAGTTTCCAGCACCTGGAATCATCCTCCCTGCCTGCACGCTACACCTTTTCTTCTTCCAGCCAGGATAGGGCAGAGTGGATTCTGTCCAAAAAGGAGAAAGCAGAGCCCCCAAAAGTAACAGTTCTCCATTCAGAGAAATAAATGTTTCTTAAAATTTTCTATACTGCCCCATTCAGAAGCTTTCCAAGGGGTGGGCTGATTCTCGCCCTTGTGGAAACAATCACTATGAAGGTTTAATGCAGGACTTTAAAAAAAATCCCATTTCCAAATTGAATAGTTTGTCTTATAGGAGGGATTTTGTTTTCTTTTCATGCTGGACCTAAATTTGGCACCCTATGGAAGTTTTATTGCATGGCATTACCCAAGAACTCAGCCAAATCTCCCGAGTCAGGAATGGCAGCTGGGGAAAGTTGAATGAATGGGCTATTTTTTTCCTTCTTTCCTTCCCTTCACTCCATATGTTTTTCAATTTCTGGCTCATAAATTTAATTAAATAAATATTTTAAAATATGAAAGATGGAGAATGTGAGAACTTGATAAATATGAAAGGAGCTTCTAAATCTATGAACATGGCATTTGTGGGGCTATGCTCTAAGTTTAGGTAAAGAGGTATTACGAAGCCTTTATAGGGAAGATGAATTAAGACTTGTCTGAAAGTGAAGAAAGATTTTGGTATCTAAACATGGGGAATGGAGAAGCCATGGGAATGTGGATAGCCCTGGGAGATAAGACTCTTATTATAAGCTCACAAGCGCATTTGTGGAAATGAAGATATTTCTGTCATCTATTTGTTGGATTAGCTTCACAGGAAGGCGGAGTGAGCAAACATGCATTGAATATTCACTTGGTGTTCCAGAGAGACATGTGTTGGCTCCAGCAGCAGCACCAGAGCACCAAAAATGAGGCTTTAGCTTATTTTGGAGATGGTTAAAACAAAGATTCAGGGCATGTCTCAAAGTGATGTTGAGGAGGGGAAATAAGGCTGGTGCTAAAGAAGAACTAACCTGATGCCTAAAGAAAGAACTAACCCATGTATTCTTTGACAAGATGTCCTCGGGCCAAAGAATAAAATTCTAAACAATCATTGGTGCTGTGGAGTGAGGCTTGCTTTTCGTAGAGGCACAGGATAGCAATTCTGAAACTATTCTGTGGGAATTCTAGTATTGAGCAAATAAGTAAATATATTATAGAAGATGGCAGCCAGTGTCCTCCTTTTCAGAAAAGGTAGTTACAAACATGCTGAGGGGAAATGTTGGCAACATTTTGGTGGTGCTGGATTGCAATCGGAGCTTTCAGTGAGAACGCATGGCATATACTGTATAATAGCTACAAAAAGAGATCGACCTATGTGGATATAAATATGGAAATGTATGTGGGTGCAGGTGTGTGTGTATGTGTGTGTGTACATACGTCTATTTCCTAGCTGTGTGTTCTTAGAGGGCCTAAAACCAAGGAATTGCAGTGCAGTGAGACCACCTGGCTTCCTGATCTTGGTTTTTAAATATTATTCTCTACTAAAAGGAATTAGGGCTCTTTGAAAAAACAATGACTGATTCTGTGGCTAAGGGAGAGAAAGTAAAAGATGAACCTGAAATATGTATATTTTTTCAGAAATTAAGAATGTTCCCAAAGAATGATGGAGACATTTCAAAAGGATACAGAAGCCAGATTGTGGGCACTTCTACTGGCCAACTCTGAGACATTGTGGACATCAAAATAAATTTGTAATAGTAAAGGATTATAGCCTATTAAATTCAATCAGATTTTTCTGATTTAACTAAATGAGTAGAAGGAAAAGAATGCTCTTCCTTATGTTAGAAAGTCAATTAATAAATGCAGAAAGGAATGAAAAAATTAGAAAAGCCACCATTTGGCAATCATGGCAGGCAGAATGGGGAGCATGCCTCCAGACGGAATTCCTTACAAGCTGGTTTGTAGGAACTCACTGAGCTTGCTGATCGACCTCTGAGAGGCAAAGTTTCTGAATTTTGGAGCACTGATTATATAAAGTTAGACAGAGACATGCTTCATTATTTAATAGGACTGTGTCAAAAGCCTACTATTAGGATGATGTGTTGGGTGTGGAACAAGGTCTCTTCCTGCCAGGGACACTGGTGATTTCACTCCATGTTCAGACTGACCTTTGAAGTTGAAGACAAGCAGAAGAATCCTTTTAAAATTTAGCCATGCCCATAGGCTGGGAGGGACCCTGCTCCATTCAGAGGCAGCAAAGCACATTACTGTATCTTCTATAGAGCTTTGAGCAGTCCAGTGCACATGGAGAAACTCAATAAATGTTTGTTGAATTAATGAATGAACAAATGAATGGATGAAGTCAGGGATAAGTCTTACATTTGTCATCTAGGTGATTAAAAAAGGAAAAAGTGTCTGTTTCAAGAGGATTAGAACCTAGTTTTACTCCCGTAGTAAAGTTTACTCTTTTGGAATCTGAAGACATTCATGAGTCTTTGCATCTTATTTCCTGAATTCTAACTTCCCTTGCCTTTATGAATGACAGAGAAGATGCATACAACCTTTGTAAATGCTTCCTGAATTTGAACATTATGTTGCTTTGTGATTGTTTCCACTCGGGATTCTAAATGACCTCATGTGGATTCACTGGAGGCCTTGGGTAGCTGGGAAACTGAGGGGATAAGATGCACACATGGTACACAAGCACACGTACACCAGCAAAGTAAATAGACACGTAACTAGAAACAGCTGTGCAGAGCCATTTAGTAAAAGGTTGAGTAGCTGGAACCATCAGGAGTGGGTGGGAATGAGTTCAAGCTCCTCCCATGAGGCCTTCCTAAGGCTTTGCAGGAGGGCAAGAACAAGGTCTGGGAAGCAGGGAAATGGGATGGCTCCGTCTGTCCTTAGCATCTCGATCCTGGCTGACTCTCCACCTCTCCTCACCCCTGCAAGATTACACACTTTGATTTATGTGATATTTAGGCAGAAAGCAGCCTAGAGCACTCTGGGGGTATTAACCAAGAAGACATACAAATCAGATTGGATGAAAGGGGAAAGAAGCCTCAGACATCTGCATGAGAATAAGAAGGATATTATATGCTACTTGACCTGATCTCTTTCCTACCCTGAGTAGTGGATAAATAATAGTATTGATAGAGCATGGAGAGTTGAGAGGCAAGACTTGCAGCATTCAAGTCTGAATTCCTGTCCTGAATATGATATTTGTACTCCCCCAACTCCCTGGTCTCCAAAGGAATCTGGTCTGTCACTAAACAGCATCTTCTCAATCTCCTCCATGTCGCAAAGTGGGGGAGTGGGGGTAGTGGAAAAGGCATGTGTTTATTTTGAAGATAAGAAATTTACATGTTTTTTAGTTAAACTAATCATTTCTAAGGGGTAATATATTGTAGGATCAGACATTTCTAGAACTGGAAGGATCTTTTAGAAACCACAGAATCTAAGCCCCTTATTATACAGAGGAGAAATCTGAAACATGGAAAAAGAGAATTTGCCTGATGTCTCAGAAAGACTAAGCAGCATTGGCACTATGAACAAGAGCTAAAAATCCCAATTCCAATACTAAAAAGATGAAACGGTACACAAAACTTTACCATCTACACAACTGAATCTTCTTTCTTTCTCATCACACTTTGGTTGTCATGCAAAAATATCCAGCTTGATCACTCACCTTAGTCATCTGAAACATCTGAGACAAATCCAATTCCCGTGCAGCTGCCACGCAAGGTTATGCCTCTCTCCAGTGGCCTCTGTGCTGCCAAGAATCTGTGGATTTGACAACAGGAATGTAGGTGGAGTTTTGAACAATGGCGGCATGGTTGGAACAGGCATGCAATTCCTAAAATTTATGAGTTGTGATTGTATATGATAGTGGTTTAAGTTTGGAGTTTGAATATTGTCTCTGCCACTTTATAGCAGAGTGAATTTGAACCAGGTGCTTACAGCCTACCTCATTAAATGACATGTGTGAAGCACTGAGTATAGCATCGGCATTAAAATAACCACCATTCATGTAAAATGTATTAATACTGTCTTATCACTTCCATTTCTAGAATAAGTCTAAGCCAATATTTTTGTAAGTTTTTTCTCTTTTTTTTGACATGGAGTCTCACTCTGTTGCCAGGCTGGAGTACAGTGGTGCAAACTTAGCTCACGGCAACCTCTGACTCCCAGGTTCAAGCAATTCTCCTGCCTCAGCCTCCTGAGTAGCTGGGACTACAGGCACCTACCACCACGCCCAGCTAATTTTTGTGTTTTTAGTAGAGATAGGATTTCACCATGTTGGCCAGGGTGATCTCCATCTCTTGACTTCATGATCTGCCTGCCTCGGCCTCCCAAAGTGCTGGGATTACAGGCGTGAGCCACCACATCTGGCCTATTTTTGTAACTTTTAGAGGCCAATATGCAGGCCTTCTCTTGCTGTCCTTAGGTCCTCTGCCACCAAAGCATGGGAAGAAACTTAAGCTAGCCTACTGGAGAATAAGAGACACAAAGTCCTATGTCCCACATTGCCCTGACTGGCAGCTAAGCAATTGCTAGACTGTGTGAGTGGGACCATCTTCAGTCATCCAGCCCCCTGCAGACTCTCCAGCTGTCTGCAAATACATAAGCAAGTGGGGGAATGATCAGTTGAGATACCCTAAACCAGAAGAACTGCTCAACTGACTCAAAGAATTGCCAATTAAATAAACAGTTGTTGATTTAAGCCATCAGTTTTTGGGGAAGGTTGTAACCAGCCGAAACTAATGGATGCAGTGTCCTATGTGTTCATGTCCCAAATGAATGAGAGATGATATATGTAAGGAAGGTGACAAGAACCCTCCACCAGCAGGATTCTTCTTTCAGCAGAGAAGATGGTTTTGCTTGGAGTTATCCCCACCCTCTCCCTTGGCTCTTCCCTTCTGGGGAAGAGTGAAATTTGTGACCCCTGAAAGGAGACTGCTGGCTGGGTGTGGTGGGAGACCAGGATATGACCTGATCTCATTAACACCATGCGCGCTAACTAGCTGGGCCAATCAGTCTGTCTCTGTCCTCCTGGAAACTCTTACCACCCACTGTCTCCCAGACTAGAGCACCCCACCCACCAAACCTCCCTTCGAAACAAAGACGCATGCAAGCACGTAGTGGAAATGCTAGGCCATGACACTTGGCAGAAGCCTGCCTCCAGGACTCTCTTGGGGTTCCAGGAGGCAGAAATGGATTCCAAACAAGTGTGAATCCAAACCAGTTGGATTCACAGGTGCCAGGAAGGCCTTACTCCTGGGCACAACAGGCTCCCATAAGGTGGCTCCAGGAAGAGAAACTCCACTTACTCCTTCAGAAACTCATTCTCACCTTTCCAATCCTTTCTATGAAAAATGTTCTTACTCATGTTAATTTAATCTTTTTTCTTTCTTTTTTTTTTTTTTTTAGACGGAGTCTCGCTCTGTCCCCAGACTGGAGTACAGTGGTGCAATCTCAGCTCACTGCAACCTCCAACTCCCTGGTTCGAGTGATTCTCCTGCCTCAGCCTCCCGAGTAGCTGGGATTACAGGCACGCGCCATCACGCCCAGCTAGTTTTTGTATTTTTAGTAGAGACACAGTTTCACCATGTTGACCAGGATGGTCTCGATCTCTTGACCTCAAGATCGCCTGCCTTGGCCTCCCAAAGTGCTGGAATTATAGGTGTGAGCCACCGCTCCTGGCCTGCCTATTTTCTTTATCTCAATTCCAGGCCATATCAAGTGCCAATTTTATTAGCATTTAATATTTCAAAGACATGGATGTCTTGTTTGGAAGACACCATTCAAACCCTCCAGTCCTCTTCTTTGTACCAGCATATGAGGGTAAGAAGAGAACAAAAAATTATGTCCTCAGGTAGGTCAGTTTTACATGGTTTTAATTCACTGTTACACATTCCATCTATGTCCACCCTTGTTTTTTGAAGACTCCCCAGCTCCTGGGCCCTTAAGAAAACAATATATATCAGAAGGATGGATTTGGCAACCCTTCCAGAATGGCCTTTTCTGCCCTAACATTCTTATGCCTCACTACATCTGTTTTCAGCTCTTTGGTCCTGAACACTCTCTTGCCAATGGCCTTTTCAGCATTATCAACTTCAGCTTTCTAATCTGGTTTTATTCTCTGTTTATCTCTCTGATTTTAGCATTTCCGTGTGAACCAGATGAGAACCCCTGCTCCAAAATCAGTGTCCTAGCCTGTTATTAATGTCCTCATTTCTACTGTTAGATAATCTTTGCTTTAAGTGAGGAGCCAGAAAACTGTTTCTATAAAGATCCAAATAGTAAATATTTTAGTCTTAACAGGTCACATATAGTCTTCATCGCATGTTCTTTCTTGTTTTCTTTTTTAACATTTAAAATATAAACATCATTCTTTGCTTGAGAATTGTGCATAAACAGGTGTGGGCTAGGTTTGGCTTGCAGGCTCATGGCTTGCCTTTAAAGCAGAGTCTATTCTTTAAAACAAAGAATATTGTAAATATTGCCTTTAAAGTAAAGCAGAGTCTATTCTTAAAACACAAATATTCCTGGAAATAGTGAATAACCAGCAACTCAATGTGAGTTAGTTCATTCTCCTTCTTTCTAGTTCCAACTGGATGGAACAAGGTTGTAAAGAAGGGATGGGGAAGATAAGGATTTTTCAGGCCATTCCAGTTGTACAGTCAACAGGAAGAATAAAAATACTGGGAGCTTTGAACAAGGAGGAGGAAAGAAAAAAGGTCTGAGTCAAAGTGCTCTACCATGTGTTAATGGCTGTGGCCAGGATGATATTCAAAATATGTAACAGCTGGTAAAGCATGTGCATGACCAAGTCAGAAGGACAGCAAGTAGCCTTTGTGCTGGATCAGGGACTGGAGGTTTCTGCTATACCACACATGAATGCTTTTGTTGCTGGATCTTGGGGCAATCCAGATGCAAGCTGGGTACAGGGCTGGGAAGTGAGTGGTCATGTTTATTACAAGGCCTAAAATTTCATGTGCTGCCTTGACATGTTTTAGCTTCACAGGACCCAAAATAGCCAAACTGTGAATTCTTCTGTTCTTGTAACATATACCCCTTCACTCACCTCTCAGGTAGACCAGCTGCACATCATGTGGGCTTCAACCTAGTGAGCTTTGGTTCCCTGCAGGCCTACAGAAGTATTCAGACAAACCAACTACTTCCTCCCGTGGGAATTAGGGGGCACCTCACCTTCTTGTTACTACAGAGTCTGCCTTCCACAGCCTCTGCTTGCTCACTCTATTCCCAAGTGCAATCTCCGTGTGGCCCTGCAAGGCATTTGGCATCCTCCTCCTGTGGGCTGTTAGTAAATGTGACTACTAAACTGCTGTTAATCTCATCTGTCCATTATTGGGTATCATGTTCAGCCATCTCATTCTATGTAGGGTGGGGAGTCTCTCCCTCACAAATGGGGTGAACACGACGTGATCACAATGAGGTATCACCCTGGATTTTTGAAGCAGTGACTATTTACCAACCAGTAAAGAAGTAGTTAAGTGTTTTAACAACCAGCACATCTGTATTTGAACCAGCATGGTTGTGATGTGATTTGGAGTTCCTACTACTCCTCTCCTGTAAATTTCTTGGATTGGAAACTGTCACTCTTCAGTTAGGAATGCTGAACAGATCCCAGTGCTTTAGTGGTGGCCTGGACAGAATGAACTAGGGAGGCTACCACATTCGTTTGAAAGTACACTGTTCTAGACATCTCTGTAAGGAATAAATTACTGGGCTCTGTGCTAATCTGTTTGTGTTGCTATAAAGGGATACCTGAGGCTGGGTAATTTTTAAAGAAAAGAGATTTAATTGGTTCATGGTTCTGCCGGCTGTATAGGAAGCATGGTGCCAGCATCTGTTTCTGGTGAGGACCCCCAGAAGTTTAAAATCATGGTGCAAGGTGAAGGGGGTGCAGGTGCATCACATGGCAAAAGCAGTGTGGAGTCAGCAGGGAGGTGTTCCATGCTCTTTTAAACAACCAGATCTTGCATGAACTCAGAGCAACAACTCAGTTATCACCAAAGGGATGGTGCTAAGCCATTCAGAAGCGATACACCCGGATGAATGATCTAATCGTCGCCCACCAGTCTCCACCACCAACACTGGGAATCACCGATCACCATGAGATTTGGGGGAACACACATCCAAACCATATCAAGTTCCCACAGTATGACTACAGTTCTTGTGTTACTGAGGATAAGAGAAAATAATAAAGAAACCGTATGTAAGGTCATCATGGAATCTCAGGGAAGGAAAGGAACTCACAAGTCGTCTAGTACAGTCTGTTCATTTTTCAAATGACGCTGAGGCCCATGAAAGGAAAGTGATTTGTGCAAGGTCACACTGGAGAAAAGCCTGGGAGAGAAAGGGCAAGGAGAAAACAGGAAGAGAGAAAGCAGGTATGAAAAAGCAGATGGAAGGTTCCTGTATGTGGTTTATGGTTGCCCATGAATGGGGAAGTGAAACTAGAACCCCTCAAAGAGCAAACTTGTCAAATGCTTGGCTTCTAGCCCCACTCAGGAGTTACTATTTCAGTCAAAAACAAATGGAACTTGCAAATAAAAGACATTGATATCATCATCATGATTAGTAACATTTTCAGATGTACTCATATTAACTCCTTGACCTTGTTGTCGACTCCGAGGTAGGCAGATGCAGTTTTTACTTTTATTAACACATCAGCATCCTGCATTGTGTTACTGTGCCAAGTCACACATCAGAAAGATTCTGACTCCAGGTCTCCCATTAGGTGAATGTCCTCTTTC